TATTTAAATGAGAAGTATTGGGAAATTAAACCCAAGGATGGGTAAAATTTTGAATATGTACTGGGGGAATGTGAAGGAAAAAGAAAGACCAGTTGCTCAATTGTTGTATTTCTCCATTGTACCACAATAAAGAGACAGTCCCATTTTCAAAGAAATTAACTTTTATTTGAGTCTACTTTTCCCCACAGGTATCTTCTAAGGACTCTATACTATATGATAACCTGCTTCATCCACTGTCCCAATACCAAAATTTCTAACAGCAAATTATACAACTGCTCCAGGTAATAAATAAGAGTTATCCTTCACTGATTAGGGGAATAAACTTCAATAAATCTTACAACAACAACAAAAAATCACACTTCAGTTTTTAAGTTTTAACAGATGTATTTCAAATACAGAATGTTTTACAGGAATCCACAAGTTTTTCATCTCTTAAAAAAAAGACTTAATTTTTAGGGTTCAAAAATTCCGTTCTTCAAAAGAAATGTCCAAGTGTTTTCTTCTATTGCTTCAAACTTTCTACACTCAACTACCTGACTGTTCCATGCCACCCCAGACAAACCTGACATGAATGAATTACTTCATGTGTTACTATCTTCCCCAAAATAAAGTTAAAAAATGAGCTACTCATAAATGCAGATCTCTAATACAGTATCTAACACAAAAGAAGCTATAAAAACACAATTTTTTCCTTATTTGATTAGCTAGAAGTTTACCTCGGTAAAAGAAAAAAAAAAAAATTTACAAAGTGTTAACACTGGGGTTCCTGTTATACTCAAGATGTTTAACTACTCAAAATGACAATTACATCTTTAAGAGTATAATAAAAGGGGTGGAAAACAGCAACACAATTGACAAAAGTGTAGATGCTAAATAAACCAAAGCTTTTTCTTAACAAGTGGGAAGAATCCGAACTTGGGGAAATCTCAGAATAAAAAAAAAAAAAAGAAAGAGGACAAATGTCCTTAATTGCAACCATTCCGTTATCAGTAGCGTCCTAAAAGAGAAAAAGCAAACAAAGTTAACAATTATAGTTTAATATGCCTAATATTTTCCCAACTATTAACTGCCACCTTCCACCCTAATATTCTAAAGTAAGCCATTAATTAGAAATGAGGTTTCTTAATGCTGCAAAATCAAAGTTCACATACTTGGGCTGTAGGAACGAGATCGTGATCGTGATCTGTATCGACTATAATAAGGAGAAGGTGATCGTCTTCTGTAAGAAATGAAAGATTACTTAGCATACTATATAATCACTCCACTGTGGCAGATGAAAGTAAAAATTTCTCCACATTCAAAATAGTTAAGGTTCCCTAAGTTGATAACTATTTAATATTAAGTTCTCTTTGGGCCAATGAGAGCAGTGTAAGTATATGGCACAACAAAACAGTGGCATATAAAGTTAACCTCTGTTCCCAAAGCATCATATATAATCTATTTTAAAAACCAAGTTTTCATTTGTACGTATCAAACATAAAAGTGCCAAGTAACACTACTATCATCTAATTAAGAACAGAAAGCTCAAGTTAAAACATTACCTGTACCGGTAATCATAGTCTTCATATCTGTCATATCCACGATCATATCCTCTATCATAGTAAGAATCTCGACGTCTGCCACCACCTCCACCTCCACCGCCGCCTCCTCCTCCACCACCACCACCGCTACTGCAGAAAAAGTAAAAATTCTGCATTACTTTGAGTAACTATTTTCCAGAACACTTTTTTTTTTTTTTTTTGAGATGGAGTTTCACTCTTGTTACCCAGGCTGGAGTGCAATGGCGCGATCTCGGCTCACCACAGCCTCCGCCTCCTGGGTTCCGGCAATTCTCCTGCCTCAGCCTCCTGAGTAGCTGGGATTACAGGCATGCGCCACCATGCCCGGCTAATGTTTTGTATTTTTAGTAGAGACGGGGTTTCACCATGTTGACCAGGATGGTCTCGATCTCTTGACCTCGTGATCCACCCGCCTCGGCCTCCCAAAGTGCTGGGATTACAGGCGTGAGCCACCGCGCCTGGCTCAGAACACTTTAATACAAACTGAATGGCTTAAAAAAGAGAAAAGAAAGAACATCCCTTTTGTGCAAAATTGCCTTAACATCTCATTTTACTGACTCCCACGGTATTCTGCTTTGCCTTCTTTTTCTTTTCTCTGAGGCTCCTTTATCTGCTTTGCCTTTTTATTCACTACATACATAACCAAGAAAGCTTTCACAAAACTCTCAAAACTAACTGCTCTTCTATTAATGTACTGCCCAAATCATCAACCTTTTCAACAAATTGAAATGATGTGGCACTGTGCTGAGCAGCAGTATAAAAATGCTAAGATGCGTCCCTACTGCTAAATGAGACAGGTAAAATAAAATAAATAAATAAAGCACATCCCTGTGACTAAAAGGCAATAAACACCAAGAATTTTAAAGTGACCAACTCTGGACACCAAAGAGAATACCGAGGCTTTTATTCCCAAGAAACACCTCTGTGAATATTGCTGGGGGGGGGGGGGGGGGGGGGGGGGGGGGGTCTCTACTAAAAACTTAGAAATATGAGCGTGTGTGTGTGTGTGTGTGTGTGTGTGTGTGTGTGTGTGTGTTTTTAACAGAGTCTCACTCTGTCTCCCAGGCTACAGTGCAGCGGCACAATCTTGGGTCACTGCCACCTCTGCCTCCCAGGTTCATGTGATTCTTGTACCTCAGCTCCCGAGTAGCTGGAATTACGTGTGTGTGACCACACCAGGCTAATTTTTCTATTTTTTAGTAGAGACAGGGTTTTGCCATGTTGCCCAGGCTGGTCTCAAACTCCTGGCCTCAAGTGTTCTGCCTGCCTCAGCCTCCCAAAGTGCTGGAATTAGAGCTGCAAGCTACTACACCAAGCCCCTATTTATGTTTTGGTCATTGTTAAAACTGTAGCATCAGGCTGGGGCACAGTAGCTCATGCCTGTAATTGCAGCACTTTGGGAGGCTAAGGTGGGTAGATCACTTGAGCCCAAGTGTTCAAGACCCACCTGGGCAATATGATGAGACCACTTCTCTTTAAAAATAAAAACATTAAAGCCGGACGCAGTGGCTCACGCCTGTAATCCCAGAACTTTGGGAAGCGGAGATGGGGGTAACACGAGGTCAGGAGATCGAGACCATCCTGGCCAACATGGTGAAATCCTGTCTCTATTTAAATAATAAAATTAGCCAGGTGTATCCCAGCTACTTGGGAGGCTGAGGCAGGAGAACTGCTTGAACCCAGGAGGCGGAGGTTGCAGTGAACTGAGATTGAGCCATTGCACTTCATCCTGGGCAACAGACTCTGTCTCAGGGAAAAAAAAAAAAAAAAAAAAAAAAAAAGCATGATGGCATACACCTGTAGTCCCAGCTACTTGGAGGCTGAGGTGGGAGGATTCCTTCAGCCTAGGCAGCAGCAGTGGTTGTAGTGAGCCAAGGTTGCTCACAAGGTGCCACAGGTTTTTTTTTATAACCTGCCTCCAATCTTATTCTTTAGCTTATGAGGCACAACCTTGGCTCAGTGCAACCTCTGCTCCCCCGGCTGAAGCAATCCTCCCACCTCAGCCTCCCAAGTAGCTTGGGACTACAGGTGCATGCCACCATATTTTTAGTAGAGATGGGGTTTCACCATGTTGTCCAAGCTGGTCACAAACTCCTGGGCTCAAGTGATCTGCCCACCTCAGCCTCCCAGTGCTGGGATTACAGGTTTTGAGCCACCATGCCCAGCCTACTGTGCCATCTTTTAACATTTTAAACAAATGCTAAAATCAATAAAATCTGTCTTATACACAGAGGCTTCCCCAGGTCACATAACAAAAAGAGAATCAATATTTAAACAGCATACGGGCTGGACATGGTGGCTCACACCTGTAATCCCAGCACTTTGGGAGGCTGAGGTAGGCGGGTCACAAGGTCAGGAGTTTGAGATCAGCCTGGCCAACACAGTGAAACACTGTCTCTACTAAAACTACAAAAAATTAGCTGGGTGTGGTGGCAGGTGCCTGTAATCCCAGCTACTCAGGAGACTGAGGTGGGAGAATCACTTGAACCTGAGAGGCAGAGGCTGCAGTGAGCCCAGATCACGCCACTGCACTCCAGGGTTGGCAAGAGTGTGAGACTCCGTTTCATAAATAAATAAATAAATAAAATAAGCACCATATGCTATTTTACTAGTATCGAACAATTTTTCTGCTGTATAGTACCAAGAACTGAGCAAGGTTTGGGGAAAAAAAGCCAGGATGCACTTTTGATAGTTTTATTCTGTTCCTTAAATATATGTGTATAAAAATAGTAAGTGTGTAAAAATAAAGACTGGCTGAGGCCGGTTGATTGCTTGAGCACAGGAGTTCAAGACCTGCCTGTACAACACAGTGAGATCTCATCGCTAAAAAACAAACAAACAAAAAATGCATTTAACTTTCAACTCTATCCTGGCACGGTGGCTCACACCTGTAATCCTACACTTTGGGAGGTCAAGGTGGGCAGATCACTTCAGCTGACAATTTCAAGACCAGTCTGGCAACAAAATGATATCCCACAAGGCAAAACCCCATCTCTACTAAAAATACAAAAATCAGCTGAGCGTGGTGGCACATGCGTGTAGCCCCAGCTAGGTGGCAGGCTAAGGTGGGAGGACTGTTTAACTCAGCAAGCAGAGGTTACAGTTAGCCAAAGGGGCTCCACGGCACCCCAGCCTGGGTCACAGAGGGAGACCCTGTCTTAATCCCATCCCACCTTACCAAAATCAATTTTAATTACAGGAAAAAAAAATTTCTCTTCTGAATAATCAAAATTTTGCACATATTTCTGGTGGATTTCTTAGTTTGGCTTAGGAAACTTGGACTCTTACTGGGTTGGTCTGCCCATGTAGATGCCTGGTGTAGGTGTGTGCGCTCTCTTGGTGATAGAATAATCCACTCGAATTCTTCTACCATCCAGCTCCATTCCATTTGCCCTTTCCATAGCCTATAAAGGAGAACAGGCACAGAAAGTTATGTATAATTAACCAGTCTTGAAGTAATCATTACTCAAAATTAAGCACAAAGTATTTGTAGTCCAGATAAACTCACGATTTTGAAAATGACAGCAATGTAGCTTGTATAGGGCATTCTATAGACAACTCTAGACCTCAACAATGTCCAGAAACATTTTAATTTACTCAGTACAAACAGTAGTTAACAAAGTTTCCCAAATAATTTTACAGTTCTGGCTCAATTTCCACTCCCTACTCCATGAGATTAACAAGGGAAGTGGAGACTGAAGTCTCTTCAAGATACATTTTTTGTAGGCTGCCCAGGTAGACTGCCATTTCATACTTTCCAGTCTCCAGCAATTTCACTTACAAAGACTGATTTCAGAACATTAAAAAGGGTTAGCTAAGCTTTATACAGGTCCTCTTTATAATGTGCCCACAACAGTTTGCAGTCTAATATACTGATAAGACTCAGTGAGCAGCCAAGAAGAAATGATATGAAGAGACATGTACAAATTTATGGTAATGCCTTTTAGCCTGTAACTGAGACTGAGCTAAAAGAAGTACAATAAAGTAATAAAACTACACAATTTTTATGTATCCACAAATATTTCTCCAGAAGAGTCCCCCATAAACTAAACGTCATTAAAAAAAGAGACAGGGTCTCACTCCATTGCCCAGGCTGGCTGGCAGTGGCAAGATCATAGTTCACTGGTCTCAAACTTCTTGGCTTATGCAATCCTTCAGCCTTAATCTCCTGAGTAGCTAGGACCTGTGCCACCATGCTTGGCTAATTAAAACAAAAAATTTTGGTAGAGAAGGGGTCTAAACAGTATTCCATTCAATGGACTGCATGGATTACACCCACCCACCCACCCATCCACCCATCCACCCATCCACCCATCCAACCATCCATCCGAGATGGGAGTCTCACTCTGTCGCCAGGCTGGAGTGCAGTGGCACAATCTCAGCTCACTGCAACCTCAGCCTCCCAGGTTTAAGTGATTCTCCTGCCTCAGCCTCCCGAGTAGCCCGGACTACAGGCGCACGACAGCTAATTTATTTTATTTTTTTTTTGAGATGGAGTTTTGCTCTTGTTACCCAGGCTGGAGTGCAATGGCCCGATCTCGGCTCACCGCAACCTCTGCCTCCTGGGTTCAGGCAATTCTCCTGCCTCAGCCTCCTGAGTAGCTGGGATTACAGGCACACGCCACCATGCCCAGCTAATGTTTTGTATTTTTAGTAGAGACGGGATTTCACCATGTTGACCAGGATGGTCTCGATCTCTTGACCTCGTGATCCACCCGCCTCGGCCTCCCAAAGTGCTGGGATTACAGGCTTGAGCCACCGAGCCCGGCCAATTTATTTTATTTTTAGTAGAGACAGGGTTTCACCATGTTGACCAGGATGGTCTTGATTTCTTGACTTCGTGATCTGTCCACCTCAGCCTCTCAAAGTGCCGTGATTACAGGTGTGAGCCACAGCACCCGGCCGCATGCATTTATTTTTGCAGAGACAGGGTCTCGATATGTTGCCCAGGCTGGTCTCTAACTCGTGGCCTTAAATGGCATTTTCCCACCTCTGCCTCCCAAATTGTATGAGCCACCTTGCCCAGCTTAATTCCTGAAGATCAAGAGATTTCTCTTTGATCTCTTTCAAAAGAACAACTCTGAGAGTATTATTTGTTTCTGGGACAAGTAATACCCTCAGAGTATTAAGAAAACTACCCAATTTTTTTCCTATTCTCTCACATACACACACATATATTTGTAGAGACCAAGTTTCCCTGTGTTTCCCCAGGTTGGTCTCAAACTCCTGGGCTCAAGTGATCCTCTTGCCAAAGTGCTAGGATTAGAGGCGTGAGCCACCACACCTGGCCCAGTTTTTAAAAAGAACATTATATCACATAAATGCCTGCTAAAGAAAACTGCAACAAATTTAACAAATTTTCCATTTGAAGTTTCAACAATCAAAATTCTCAAAGTTGATCCCCCCCCCCCCCCATCCCAAACCCCAAAAAAAAAAAAAAAAAAATCTCTTAAGTATTTCTTACTGTAACAGGGTGCGGAGCTTATATATTTATCTTAACCATATACACACTATTAATTTTGACACTTCAGTGAAATTTTCGGAATCAGGGAGAAGCCAGTCAAAAAGGAATACATTTTTTTTTTTTTTTTTTT